GCCCATGACGAGCTATTTGCACTTCTGATAACGGTAAATTTTTGTAACGTCCGGCGCATCGCAATATTCCATTGTTTTCGTATGGTCCTAACTGATCCGTGAGCCTTTTTCTCGCTTTTCGAGCTATTGCCGAGAACTGTTTATCAAATAAGCGTTGTTGTTTCAGTCTAGCGATCTCTGCGCTTTGTTGTTCCTTTGCGCTTATAAAGCTATTGTCTTTCATATTATTAAAAATTAAAGACGTCACTGGAAACCTTTCCTTAAAGGTATCAGATAAACTTAACCAAATTCGTTGTTTCAAAAATCGTAATATGTATACTACGATTCTCAAGAATTCGAACCATTTAGAGTAGTCCTCTATCTTGATCCAAAAAGGTCTCTCTGTGACTACCAGTGCTTCATTTTGGTGTTCTTCCGCTTGATCCTTCTCTTCCAGTTCCGCGTATTGAAGCTCATTCGGCTATTGATCTTCTGAGAAATTTAACCACTCTGGACCATTCCACCATCGTCTATTTTGAGTCAGCTTCTGTAGTGAACATCCTCTCGTGGCTAAATCTGCTATATTTTCTTCGGAAGGAAGATATCAAATTTAGATTCCTATGGCCTGCTTTATTTCCGACAGCCTATTTGCAATGAAGACAGAAAGGATTTTAGATGTTTTTGACCAATACAGTACGCACTTTGAATCCGTCCGAATCATCTTTCGTTATATTGGTGATTGTAGTTTCTCTTGAACGTATTGCGTAGCGCATACACCGATTAGCAAGGTTAAAAGTTCTAACCTTGGGATTGAAATACCTTTCATTGAAGACAAACGATTTTTGCTAAACACCAGTTTGGTGCGACAGTTCCATTCTGTTATCGTTTTTAAATATAATACCGCTGCGTACGTCTTTTCTGAAGCATCCACAAAGGTATGTAATTCCCATTTATTTTGTTATTTTCTTTCCGTTGTCATCCTAGGTACTTCAATCTTATTTATAAGATTCCAGGACTGTTGTATTTCGCTCTAAGCTTGCTGTATTTCTTCAGGTAGATCTTCGTCCCAAGTGAAGGATTTCTTCCATAACGACCGGACTAGCAACTTGGCGTTCAGGTTAGCTGGCGTTGATAAACCTAAAGGATCGTAGTTTTAAGCTAATCTGGATAAGATCTTACGTTTTGTTACTGGTTCGTTTGCTTTTTTTTCTTTTCGAAAGGAAACCTCCCATTTGTCATTGTCCAATCGCCAGGTCATTCCTAGTACCTTTTGGATTCGAGCATTATCCAGATCTTCTGCCGAAATTATTTTACCACTTCCTGATGTATTTGATGCCCTTTTTCGCATATTGAATGAAGCTTTTCTAAAAATATCTTTTATCACTGCGTACATGCGCCTTATTTCATCGCATGTAGTAGTTCTTGAAATTAACTTATTTACATATATTTGGCTCATTATCTTTTGTACTAGTTCTGCCTTTTGTTGATCACCTTCTCTGGCCATGTCTTCAATTTCTTTTCCTAAATGGTGCCTTACAATTGCTGTTAAAAGAAACGGACTAGAATTTTGATCCTCTTTGTGAAGTTCAAAAGTCTGCTAATAATATCAAGTACCAGAACTCAACAAAGAATCACAAAAAGTTAGCCTAATTTCATTGTGAGGTTGAATTTACAACAATCGCTTGCATACTTTTTGTACAATCCACACACTGTTATTTGTGGAACCCTTAGATTCATTGTCACCGCTTAAAGTGAACTGAAAGTATTGAAGATGCAAGACTGATGCAGGATGAGCACCACGCTCACATGCTAACAGTCGAAAGTAGTTTACTGCAGCAAAAAAACACCGCCGACAGTAATACAAAACGC